AACGTTGCCGATCCCTGCTCTAAAGTTTTAAAAGCAGTGTTTTTTCTTGAAAGTCTCTCCATGTTAATTTTGGGTTTGTACAGCTTGCTCATCTGAGCTGGATTCTATTGCCCCAGTGGGACTCGTACATCACTTTTGTCCCCATCTCTAACATGTATGTGATATGTATTTTGATATCCAAACAACATCCTGAGAAGCTGAGCGCTTCACTGGTGTGCCTTAATTCTTACCCATTAGCAACTAATTGATTGAAAATACATTTGAATCCTAAGAGACTATACTCATGACAGTTTACTCTGGAGGAGAGTGTTTCCAGCATAGTTATAGGTTTGTGCTAAAAATCATTATCAGAAGTGTTTATCATATTGCAGAAAGAACCAGATTGCACATTACAGGCTTTAATTTCTTTAAGACATATGAATAGATTTTTGTGTGTTTCTGAAGTAACCATTAGGGTTCTGGGTCCATCCTGACTAGGAGAGTTGATGGCTTTAAGGACAGGCATGGATCACTAGCTCCAACATGCTGTGCAGTTCTCCCTGGATTTCAAACTCCCAGGCTACTTAAACACATATCCTGGTCTGCCTAATGACACTACAAAGTCTCTGTGAGAGGGTGCTAACAGCAGCACCCTGATCACTGACATTGCTGCAGCCTGGATAAGGCTGCAGGCCCAGCTGAGGGAAACTATACATTTTTCTGGTGGAGGATTGTGGGGACCTCGGTGACAATCACTGGGCTAACAAGGTAATTGGGGAGAATGTAAGGGGAGGAAACAGGAAGCACAGGGCAGCTCAGGAGAAGGAACTCAGAGGATGAGCCTGGGCTGGGCAGCAGGGAAGCCTATCTTTGCAATAAGCCTGTATTGCACAAGTCTTGCTGTGTAAAAGTGAAATAAATACACACCTTGAGATGTAAGACAAACAGCCTAGTGTGTGTTTGTGACTGAGAAACCAACTGAACTGGCCGGACAGTGAAGTTCACTGGGTAGTGATGGAGGCTCCCTGTGACAGTCTCCTAAGTCCTGGATTGGAGTACGGTCTGCTCTATAAATAGTTTTTGTACCATTTTATCAGTTTGGAGACCAACACAATTAAAGATGGGGAAACCCCTATTGAGGATGTAGTTATACTAGTGTAAAGGTACTTATATTGGTATGGCTGATACCCACAAATTTATATTGTGGAAGTTATGAAAGGAATTGCTGACCCCATTAAAAGGGATCTACATTAAACTATTATATACAAAAGAAATGGGCGGTCCGCCACATGCATTGAGGGATGAAGAAGAATTCATTTCATACTGTGGGTTATTATTCTTTGCTACTCTGTAGGCAAAATAGAGTGTTACTGAGAAAAACCTGTGTCATGACCCACAGGTCTCAAACCCAGGTCTGCAGGACTCATGGAAGCAGCCACTCGCCAACCTGGCAGCTTGCTGACAGTTGCTTACCTGCTTGCCCAGCCCTAGAGTAAGGCTCCGCCCTCGAGGTCTGATTGGTGGAGTCCCAGAATGGCTGATTGGCCGTTGGCCCTACTTAAGCCAGCAGCAGTAACAGGAAGCTGTCTGAACAACTATCCTCCACTCTGCTCTGGATTCTGTGCTTCTTGCTCCTGCTTCCCCAGCTTGATTTCCTGGCATCCTGACCCAGTGTGATTCCTGGAATCTGACTTGTGATCTCTGGTTTGTCTCCTTCCTCTGACCTGGCCTGACAATGGTTCCTGACTTGTGGTTCTGCTTTCCAGTTTGTCTTCTGCTTTTGATCTCCTGGTATTCTGACCCAGCCAACTCTTGACTGGCCTGACAGAGACAGCATGTTTCTCAAATCTGTCTAGGCATAAGGTATGATAGATAGAGACTAATAGGGAGTGTTTACACTTGAATTTTTAATCGTGTTTTAACGTGTTATTTAACACAATGCTAAATCCTTCTGTGTAGAGGACACACATTTTTGTTCTAGGGTTACACAGAACACGGACAAGTATGTGTATCTTTGAATATACATTTCTGTAGTGCCCGCGGTAGAATTTACAATCATATTGATTAACATAATTGAATACCCAATGATCCAAATGAATGCATACAAAGATACTCAGAAAGGGATATGTGTAATAATTTGTAAGAAAGGAAGAATAACAGCAGGGGAAAGGAAGGAAAGATGAATTAAGGCTGGCCAATGGCTTAAACAATAAATTATGGGGGTGGGGAGAGTGATCCCATTTTTTGGTGAAGAATATCGTAGTGACTTTTGTCATACACAGAAGAACCCCAAGAATTTGGATTTAGGTGCATGGCACCACTTTATACTTTAGCATTTAGTGCATATTACTTTCCTTTTTGGGTTGCTGCTTTTCCACTGGTTTTCTGTGCATTAGTTTTGATAATTAAATCATTAGAATTTTAAATTTTTACTCCAAGCATAGTTCACCAAATACTTGGCAGTATCTGACATTTACAGAACTTGCACTTCGCCTGGTTTGAGGGACCAATATGGTATCTGCTTTTTTCCACAACTTTAATTCCAATATGATTTTGCAACTAATATTTCCACAATTTCCCAGACTCATAGTTTAATGCACTCTGTCATTTGCAAAGATGGATTACAAGATCTCAGATAGTGTATACATAAATCTCCAATTCAGATAACACTTACACATATGACCATTGAAACTGATGGGACTACCCTTATGTGATCCATCCAATGTGTGCTTTAAGGTCCAATGTTTTGTGACTTGTCAAGACAGAACCACTCTGGCAGACCAGTACAAAATGCTTCCAGGACCACTAAGCATTTTTGAGTGCTGATCCTCCTGAGCCAGTGATCAACAAAGTAGATAAGTCTATCCCTCAGTCTCAGCAGTACCACTCGCTGCCATCGAGCTGCCACAACCCCTAATACTACCATCTCCCTGAACCATCCACCAGAACCAGTATTTACAGTGGGTGGCTGTCTGCAACTGCCTGGAGAAGCATATCCTCTGGGGCCTGCATTTGTAACATAGTGTCCTGCTCCATGTCCCAGCCCATCTCTTCTTGTTAGAAACAACGATTCAGACCTTAAACATATGCAGAGTGGGTGTAGCTGTGAATACACTTGGCAATACATTTGAAATTGAAGTGGATGAAAAGTACAAGTCCCAGCTGTGGCAAAATGCTTTATGTAAAGGAAGAAAAGAAGAAAGCAAAGACTGAAAAAGAAAACCTTGAATATTTAGGAAGAGCCTTGCCAGGGTCCAGTAGGTAATTGTGGATTTAACACCACCTACAGAAAAAGTGAAGTATCCAACACTCACAGAGTAATGCAGCAGTAGCAGGAAAGAGAGAGGGTGGTTCCTGGAAAACTAGTAAAAGAAGACCAAATTATCACTCTGATAGTGACTATTTGAGAAAATAGTTCTAAAATGGAAGAAGGAAGCAAAATTGCCATAAAAGCCCTTCCATTCTATACAAGGGAGCCCTCCCTCCAAAAATAAATTAAGGGGAGATTTTGAAAGGCATAAATGAGAGTTAAGCACTTCTTTCACATTGTCTTGGGATTTAGGTGTCTAACTGCCTTTGTGACTTTGAAAATCCCTTGTCCAATAATGATTTTTCTATTAAATAATAGGAGAAAATAGCCAAATTGTCCAGCGTTATGTGCACATGTGGACACTAAGTGAACACACAGATAGATTGGCCTTGCTTGTGGATATGTATGGAACTTGGTACATACCCTAGAGAAAAACATGGGGCTGCAGTAATTTGTGAGAATGGCAATCTGATCCAACTGGACACAGGAGTCAAATGTAACATCTTCAGAAAAGTGGTGTTAAGTTAGGAAATTTACTATTAAGAAATAAAGATAATAAGCTAATACCTTTTAATGAAAGTGACTTTGAAGCTATAGGGCAAATTGCAGCAATCATATATACTTTATATACTTAAATGTAAGTAATATGATATGAAAGGCTTCAACTAGCTAGTGGTGATACTACATGTAATGTACAAGGCACAGAGATAAGTTTGAGTGATGCTTAGACCATAACATTACCTGGTTTGTTAACTAATTATATGGAGTAGGAAAATAAATTCTGAGAGCACTGCCACTTAGCAATGATTTTTAGAGCTCAAAATAAGTTACTCCTGGGGGAATTCTGCGCCATTGCACAATGCAGAATGTTGTAGAAATTAATGTTTTTTGCACATAATTTCCTTTCCCTAACAGAAATGGGCTGCAGCTGCTGGCTGCCACTAGGGGCCACTGGACCCAGCAAAGCCAAGCTCACACATAGAAGACACTGGGTGGCGGGGGAGGGTGGGAGAGAGTTCCTAGCAGCTGCATTTCCCTGCATGCCCTGAAGGAAGGAAATGGCGGCATGCAGGAAACTCCACTCAAGCCTGGGACCCAGCAACAGGCTGTATCTCCTTCTGGATCCCTGGGCGGTAGGGGGATGGGTGTCTGGCCTGGTGGGGGGGGGGAGCACAGCTGGGCTTGGGGAGGGGGGATGGGTATCTGGCCTGTGGGAGCATGGCTGGGCTCAGGGAGGGGGAGGCTGGTGTCTGGCTTGGGGTGGGGGACACAGCTGGGCTCTGGGGGCGTTGTCTGGCCTTGCAGGGGTGCCGCGGCTGGACTCGGGGGGGCGAGGGGGGAGGGGTTGTGGGTGTCTGGCCCCTGGCTGGGCTCGGGGTGGAGGGAGGAGGGAGAGAAAAATGAACTGGATTGTCATATGGGTTTCTTTAACTCTCTACTCCTGGGGGAATTTTGTGTGTGTGTGTGTATTGTTACAGACATACTTGCTGACAGATATTTTGAAATAAATTACCAAAATAATTGAAACTGGCATGATTATGTAGTGTTATTTTGACAAATAAAATTTGCAGAATTTTGCAGAGTTTTAAAATATCGTGTGCAAAATGTTTATTTTTTGGTGCAGAATTCCCCCAGGAGTAGTAAGTTTGGTGTCATTGAATTAGTCTCAGAATAAAAGCTGCAGATGTTATTAACATTCACAGGAGTGAAGCTAAATCACAGGAATAGTGTGGATAAATACAATCAAATCCTGAATAGATCCAACATCACGCATTAGCTTTGAGGTTGCTAGATGCAGGAAATACATGATGGATAAAGTCAAGGTAGAGTGCATGAGCAGAGTTCCCAAGTCTACTGTTGATTGAAATTTGCTTTTGGACACTCATATCATTTCATTCACAAATATTCTTTTTCTGATGAAGGGAACAAATCCCTTGACTGGAAAAAAAATCTGGGGCAGGGGGAGAAGTTGACTAAGTAGTCAATAAGAAGCATAGATGTCTTTTTTTTTTTTTTTTGAATGTGTAGATAGATTGTCAGCACTAACTACTCCTCAAAATGGGGAATTAGCCAGAGATTAAGACCTTGTCTAAACTTCAGAGTGGCCCAATTCAGGCATTGGCTGCTAGCAGTTGGTCTAGCTGTAACAGTGTTAACCCGTCAGAGTAGACAAGAACCAGCTGGAATTTGTACCAGTTATGCTAATCAGGGTTTAGCCCTTCTTCATCAAGTCCTTGTGATGTAGTCTAGGTCTGTTTTATCCTTAGATAATTAAGAATTGTTAAATTAATTCCCATACTCCAGTGTCTCACAAACTTGGGATGCCGCATGTTTAGGCCAATGGGAACTGCTGGAAGTGGCGGCCAGTACGTCCCTCGGCCCGTGCCGCTTCCAGCAGCTGCCATTGGCCTGGAGCAGCGGCCGTGATTGGCTGAACCTGCGGACGCGGCAAGTAAACAAACCGGCCCGGCCTACCAGGGGCTTTCCCTAAACAAGCGGCGTCCCAAGTTTGGGAAACACTGGCATACTCCATTGTAAGCCTTAAGAAAAGGGCAGTAATTTTTAAACACTCTCTGGAAAAAGCTGTAAACAAGGTAATGATAGCCTTGGAACTGGTTTGCTTTAAGGGTATACAGTTTCAAGAATGTGAAAAAAATTATACAATTATTTCCTCCATAAATGTCAAATATTGCCTATTTTCAGTATTTGGCAAATTACCTTTAGAGTAAAAATCTAAAATTCCAGTTATTTAATTATGAAAGCTAGTGCACAGAAGACCAACAGAAAGGAGAAATGGATTCAAAAGGAATGCATCCCTCGCTAAATACTCAAGTGTTAAGTAATGCTATGCACACAAAAAAATCAAAAGTCTTGGGATTTTTTGCTGAATCTCCAATATCACCCAAAAAATTGACCCAATTTTCTTGCATATTTGTTTCTTAAAAAATATCATGTTTCCCATTAATTTATTATTTAAACCATTGGCCAGCCTGATAACTTGTTCGGTGTTTTGCTATTAAAAGCATAAAAAAATCAATTACGATATCCAGTTCACTGTCATGTAGCACAAACATTTGGCTCATAGTCCATTCAAATGCATCAATTGTAAATTCTAATGTGGGCGCTACTCAAATCTTCCATGACACATAAATTTGTCCCTAATTACAGCTAAACCTAGAATAAACATTTGTGTCCTGTCTACATGTGTTTTTTATATACTTTCTGCACCAATGTTGCTGCACAGAATGGAAACCAATCACTTCCATTCCTCTCTGTCATTTGCTGCGGCTGTCATTTGCTCTATTGTGTTGGGATCGACTCTGCTGCTCTCCCTGCAAAGGGTTCTTTTTAAAGTTTCTCTTGAATGCCCTTGTTTCTTCACCCCACTTGGCTTCCACTTGACAGCTTGCAAAGGGGTCAGCTCACTGCTAACTTATCCTTATGGCACAGCATGGCAGCACACTCTCCAGGGGAGTCTGCTGCTGCTTGTTGCTCTGCCTCTGCAGTGGCCGGCCTCTTCCTGCTCTGGCCAGGTCACTTCAAAGTATTTCACTTCTGGGGTAGTTAATAAACAAAAAAAAATCCGATTTAATAAGAGAGCAAGGAATGACTCACTATCAGGATCAGGCCCTCCCTTCTCTCAGGTAGGGACCTTCAGGCAGTGGCTGTTGGGAAGTTCCTGCCTGAGGGTTGTAGGACTGTTCTCTTCCCTGGTCTGCCCTCAAGTGTGTTCTGCTTCTATTTTAAGTCCTCCTCCAGCTTGCGGCAGGACAGAGTTGGCTGAGCACAGAGCAGCTCCTTAACCCCTTCTTGTCCAGTGGGGGGTTTGTGTACCCCATCACATAGCTTTATGTGGGAGTCTGCATGTTGGCATCCAGAGTGCAGGCCGCAAATATGGCAAGTGCTTCCTTCTGAATCTGGTGGAAATGAGCTTCTGGTTTGTGATTTCTCAGATGTTTATTAGTGATTAAGTCTTTCCAATCAATGTCCAGAATCTTTCCTAGGCACTTATTTTCGAAGGCCTCTCTGACGTTTTAGTAGATCTCCAGCTTTCGCAGCCATAAGTTCGCACTGAGATTACATTTGAATTGAAAATTCTCAGTTCTGTGTATCTTTGATTCCTATACATTGTTGAGTTTAGTAAATGTTGGGGATGCCTTTCCTATCCATGATATCACGTCTGTGTTGGCCAATATGGTGCTGCCCAGGGAAAGAACAGGTTAAAGAGTATTTAGATAAGTTACGTGTACTCAAGTCGACAGATCCTGATGAAATTCATCCTAGGATACTTAAGGAACTAGCTGAAGCCATCTTGGAACCATTAACAATTATTTTTGATCACTCTTGGAGGATCGGTGAGATCTCAGAAGACTGGAGAAGGGAAAACATAGCACCTATCTTTAATAAGGGGGAAGAAAGAGGACCCGGGGAATTGTAGTCCAATTAGCAAAACTTCGATATCTAGAAAAATACTGGAACAAATTATTAAACAATAAATTTGTAGGCACTGGAGGATATCACTACGGTTATATGGAATAGCCAGCATGGATTTGTTCTTGCCCGATCTTTAAATTAGGTATTAATTATATTGATTACTTAAGAATCCCCAGTTATCACTTTGAGGATTGACAGGTTCTTGCCCCAAGATCAGGCCCAGTAGTATTTAAATTATTATATAGTTGGGAACCCCGATGTGCACAGTTGGAACACTCATATTATAGGAACTGTTTTATATTTACAAATATAATTTATTAAATACATTTAGCACAGTCACAAATACCCCAGCTCAGTAAGGTAGATAGAGATACTACAGAATGTACATCTGCACATCCATATACTCACACATCCCTTGTAAAACTACCTGAAGTGTTAGCCATTGTCTTTCTCGTCACCATCACCTTCCCCATCATCACTAGTGACCATCATTCTGGCATCTCCCAAGGACTACATCTCTTTATCCTACTGTCCCTCGGCTGCGATGCCACTTTTATAATATGTTACGCTGACGCCGTTATGTTTGATGCATATTCAGTGGGGGATTTTTTCCCCTTTTCCTTATTTGTATTTCCTCACCTTCATTCATTACCATGGCCCTTTTGTGGCTTGCTATCACGTTTGTTATTTCTGTCCTAACCAGTTCTTTCGGTTCTTTCCAAGTTCCAAGTTGTGGTGTACCTGGTAAGTTTAAAAGCATATGAACTTTGCCCCCTTTGCCAGCCTACTTCAACGCATCCTCTATGTTAAAGGTTGCAGCCATATATGGACCTTATGCTTTAGCTCATCACCATCTATCTAGGTGAAAGGTCCCAAATATATGTATGCTAACTCTGCCTTAGCTCAACATATGGGATGTGGCCTGTAAGTACCTTATGTTACAGCCAAAATATACTCTAATATAAACCTATTATAACAAAACAAATAAACCCATAAGAAAATAAGAAACTTATAAGAAAATATATATAGGCAAGCAAGCAGGCTAGCCTTAGATGTATCTCATGTACCTGTTATGTATGTCAGTTCATTGCCAGGACACTTCTGTGGTTGACTCATGTACCTGTGGTCAGAACTTCCCCTTAAACTCTATTTTCAACTCCCCAAATAGGCGGGGGGGTTTGTTGGGCCATTTATCTGTGCAAAGTTTCTGTTCAAAGTTCCTAGGCCTCAAGCCTTATGCTAACTTGCTGAAGCTAATGTCTTATAGGATACAGGCCTGTAGGTTTCTTGAATTACTGCTGAATATAATGCAAAGCAGAATATAATACAAAGCAGTGAATATAATAAAAGCAAGCTAGCCCAGTAGGCTACAGTGTACAACTAGTTGAAAGACTGTATTCAAAGAGTAGTTCAAAACTGGGAGGACGCATCTAGTGTGGTTTCCCAGGGGTGAGTCCTGGACCTGGTACTATTCAGTATCTTCATTAATGCCTTAGATAATGGAGTAGAGCGTATGCTTGTGAAATTTGCAGATGACACCAAGCTGGGAAGGGTTACAAGCACTTTGGAGGACAGGATTAGAATTCAAAACACCGTAACAAATTAGAGAATTAATCTCAAATCATCAAGATTAAATTCAATAAAGACAAGTGCAAAGCACTTCAGTTAGAAAGGAAAACTTGAATGCACAACTACAAAACAGGAAATAACTGTCTAGGTGATAGTACAGTTGAAAAGGATATGAGGGTTATAATGGATCAGAAATTGAATAAGGGGCGCCAATTTGATGCAACTGCAAAAAAGGCTAATTTCATTGTGGAGTGTATTAACCGGAGTGTCATAGGGAAGACAAGAAAGGTAATTATCCCGCTCTACTTGGCACTGATGAAGCCTCAGCTGGAGTACTGTGTCCAAATCTGGGCGCTACGCTTTAGGAAGGATGTGGACAAGTTGGAGAGAGTCCAGAGGAGAACAACAAAAATGATAAAAGGTTTAGAAAACCCGACCTATGAGGAAAGATTAAAAAATGGGGTGTGTTTAGTCTTGAGAAAAGAAGACTGAGGAACCTGACAACTGTCTTCAAATATGTTAAGGGCTGTTATAAAGAGTATGGTGATCAATTGTTCTCCATGTCAACTGAAAATAGGACAAGAAGTAATGGGCATAAGCTGCAACAAGGGAGATTTAGGTAAGATATGAGGAAAATCTTCCTCACTATAAGGGTAGCTAAGCTCTGGAATAGGTTTCCAAAGGAGGTTGTGGAATCCCCATCAATGGAAGTTTTAAAATACAAGTTGGATAAAGTCAAACACCTTTCAGGGGTAGTCTAAGCTTACTTGGGCCTGCCTCAGAGCAGGATGACTTTTTAAGGTCCCTTCCAGACTTGCATTTCTATGGAGGAGTCTTTTCTCCAAACTTCACTGAACAGCTCTGTCAATTTTGTTGTTGGTATCAGCATTTCTGCTGTAGTTTGATCATCTTCCACTACTTTATTTTTCAGCTTTTTTGATTGCAACCTGTACTTTTGACATCTCTATTGGACCGATGTTAATATCAAGTTGATCAGGTTCACATTTCATCAAAATTTGGTACTGCAGTGGGGCTATTGAGAACATCATTGAAATGCTCTGCCTATCTGTTTTTTTGTTCTTTCTCCGTTGTCGTTATTTTTTTATCTTTGCTTTTTATTGGCTTGTGTCTTGTTTGGAAACTTACAAGTGTGTTGAATAATGTGTTAAAACATGACTAAAAATTCAAGTATAGCTATACCCTATCACTTCTATCACAGCTTTTGCTAACACGTTTTGGGTATATACTGACTCCACTGTGGAGTTTGTCATGGGGACGAACTGGGGTGGCTCCATGGAAAAATATGTCCAGAATTGAGCTTCATACAGTAGAAAGATGCCTGTAGCAGCCCCCAAAAAGTATAGATGCTCAAGACCAGAAGATGCAGCAATAATTCCTCCTTCATGGTTTTATATGCACACCATAGAGTGTATATAATAAGCTTTCTTTGTGAGTAAGCTCTGAGGTCTGCCTAAGTCTTTTTCAGTGTTGAGAGGAGAGAGAAGTTGCAGTGCGATGGTTCAACCAACTATGCTAGAAATCATTAGGATTGTGCTTTACAAATCCCAGCCTTCTCTAGCTTTTGAGACACCTTCAAAGGGCCCGATTTTCAGAAATTGCTGAGCTCCATACCTTTTGAAAACATTCTCCTTTAATGTGTCTCCAGTTGGGCACCCAAAATCACCAGTCTCAATTTTGAAAACGCAATTTACATATTGCAATGATTTGAAATCTACCAGCAATGGGAAGAGTTAAAAGACATGATTTTACAGATCCGGATGTATAATTGATGTTAGGTGAAATCACTAAGTGTGTTATTTCCTTAGCTAATAGCTCAGGGCCACTTTATAGTGGATAGTTAATTTCATTTGCTGAGAGTTGAGTGAGAGTTGGTGAGAGTTGAACTAGGGTATCCAAATGCCATAGGTGTGCAATGAGTTAGGAAGAAAATGCCTTCAGCACATAGACAGGTGGCATTTTCACAGTACAAATCACGCCCTGAAGTCTTTCTTGCCAGCATTTTTCAAACTTGGCTTTTGAAAAGACAGTTAAAAATAGATTTGTTAAAGGTGTAGTCTTTTAAAAAAACCTTCTACAGACAATGATCAGATCATTTCTAATAAGTGGTTTTGTGAAGAACACCAAGATATATCTCTTTTTCCATGCACCATCCCATTCAAGGACCGCCATGTAACAGTGATCCTCATTCCAGCTGATGATACAGCACTCTTTGTAGATTCTTTTTTTTTTCAGCATTGCTGCAGAAGAGCTCCATCTACAATATCACAGAGCTCTCTCATATTGCATAAGGATGCTGTCTCTGCAGTTCTCCCAGGCCATATCATCCAAAGGAACAAGGGACTAAACTCTGTTCCAAACTCGTAGCCCTTGATTACATTGCCGTTAGACCACTGGGCTGGTCTTGGAGATAAAAGTGCATGGTATATAATTGTTACTGATGTATATTGTTTTTACCAGCTACAAAAGGTGTAACATTTAAGTTTCCTCCTCATTCTTGTCCCTCTTGCCTCCCCCACGTTCTCCAGCACTGGCTGAAATGAAGAGGAATTTTGCCTTTATGGAAGGTGGCAGCCCCGCTGGCTCAAAAGCATATTTTCATTAATCCTGCAACTGAGAGGAGATAAATAGTAGTGTCCCAAATGTTTACTGTTAGTCTCTAAGGTGCCACAAGTACTCCTGTTCTTCTTACTGTGCTTAGAAGTTTGGAGGGTCAAAATTGGCCAAAAAGGCCTGTCTGTGATCACTGGTACTCCTTCCTCACCCCACGCTGACTTCCCTCACTAACATGCAATGGCACAAACTCCAGGAGTTTGAAGCAGGTTGGGAGTGTACCAGTGTTGAGGAAATCTGTGCAAGAAAAAGCCGGACAGGTTTGACCTGCACTGTCTTTTCCTTATCTGTTAGAGCTATTCAGCTTTCTCATCTACACTAAACAATGTACAGTCTATTATTGCTACATTGTAGTGGATACTGTAACTAGGCCTGTGTTTGTTCTTGCTGCACTTATTCATCATAAGTAGTATGCATACTCACTTTGATTTTAATAGAGCTTCTTGTGGAATAAGGGCATCTTGAGTGACGTGCTAGGATATGGTCCCAGATGTTTCCCAGAAAAGAGAAGAAAGAATATTAATAATACGTTGGCTACAAGTAGTAATTTCTCACCCTAAATGTTGTTTTAAGCAGGTTGCAGTTTCTTGAAGACAAACTGCTCTTGTTTGCAGCTTAGAACTCCAGGTATTCCTTTCACATGCCAGACACCTTCTAGCCTGGGTCCAGTCCTTTCTTCCCCAGATCAGTCTTGGGTGTTTTCAGCAGTCATCTTGGGCAGAGATTCAGTAAAGAACCGACCCTGATTAACTCACTTCCCTGCCTTAAATAGGATTTACAAAGGAATCCTTTGTTTCCCAGTTTGATCCACATACCCTTTATGGGACAAATACTAGCAGTCCAAGATTGAGTCCAGTACCAGGTGACATGATCACGTGACCCTGCAGTGTCAAAGCAGCTATAAGTCCTCAGGAAGACTTCGTAGAATTACAGAACTGGAAGGGACCTTGAGAGGTCATCTAGTCCAGTCCCCTGCACTCATGGCAGGACTAAGTATTATCTAGATCATCCTTGACAGGTGTTTGTCCAACCTGCTCTTAAAAATCCTCAATGATGGAGATTCCACAACCTCCATAGGCAATTTATTCCAGTGCTTAACCAGCCTGACAGGAAGTTTTTCCTAATGTCCAACCTAAACCTCCCTTGCTGCAATTTAATGTAAATTTTGATTTGTGAATGGTGAAGGGAGAAAAAATGTTCTTCTTAACCTCTGAAGATAGGACATATTTATTTACACACATTTGCCTCTTCGGTTTAAATTATATTTAGCTTTCAATAAAGCTCAGCAACCTAATTACTTACTGAACCCACAAATAAGGCTGAAAATTAAATGCTTTCCCAAATGCCTTTCTCAGTCTGTATTCTAAACTATCTCCTAGTTTAGGAATTATCTACTCTTTTTAATCTTTATTTCAAGACTCATTTTTCTGAATTCATCTGTTTTGCACTGTGGTTGTCATCCATGAGCTTAGATGCTCAAATGATCCTGGACTTTCCATATCTGAATTAATTTTCCCTCTTAATAGTGAGTTCTTCCCAACTTATCATATTGATCAGAAATCAGCTATTTACTAATATTGTCATAACCATTCAAATAATTAAAAGTAATTAACCAATATGATAGCTATGGAGTCACTGTTTCTCTCTGATTCTTTCCCCAGCCTGAAAAAAGTCCACACAGCAGATTCTTAGTGGGTATAAACTGTCATCGTTACACTGACAGTTGACACCAGCTGAGTATCTATTACTTCCTCCACAACTATTTCTTCCCCTTATATACAGTTTTTCAATGCAAGTTCTGATTTATTCCCTGGTTGTGAAATTTTGACACGTGTAATGCCTTTGATGAAAAGCACAGAAAACAGAAGTGCCAACTTTCTGATACATTTGTATGTATAATGCATTTGTGTGTGTGTGTGTAATATGTATATATAATATAAGAATTATCCCACAGTTTACTAAATTGTGTAGTTTAGATCTGGTCAAAAATTTCTAAATCTGAAATTTTTCAATGAAAATAGGGACGTATATTTGTGCACATTTTGGGGGGGGGAAGATCTGTTTCGGTGTTGTTTTTGTTACATTTTTTTAACACCTCCAGTGTTCTTTTAATGGTTTGTTTGCTTTTGGCCTGTTGGTGTGAGCGATCATGGACCTTGAACCTGGCCGCTACCCAGCATTTCAGCTGAGCAACTGGAGAAAGGAACCAGCAAAGCACTAGCTCACAAAGGGCCCGACCCCCAAAGCTCCTCATCTGAGGGAAATGTCCAGGACCCCTGATTGGCTGGGTAGCACTATTTAAATCAGGAATAGGCCTAGGAAGTTGTTTGAGTAACGAGAGGAATCCTTGACTGGCTGCACTACGGACCCATTCTGCTTCCCTGCCTTCATCCCCGCCTGCTCCTGGTTCCTGTTCTCCTTATCCCAGACCCCCATCTCTTCCTATTTCCTGCTTTCCTCACTCCAGGTCCCTGCTCCTGTGCCTTACCCATGACTCTGTATCCAGCTCTGACCCCTGGGTTGGCACCTTACTCTAACCTTTAGGTTTGACCACCCACACCCTGATCATTACAGTTTGCCCTTTTCAAAATGATGGTATTATATGAATTTCAAATCCTCAGCTGTTGACCCTTAGACAAACTAGGCATACTGCATATCCTACAGAAAATGTTAACAATTTAACAAAATGTTGCCGTGTTCCTCATTAAATAAAGCACTTGTTTGTTGTACTCAAGTATTTGTAATGAACAAGGGCATGAAAGGATTTATTTTGGTAGAGAAGCAGCAGGTCTCGATCAGCACATTCCAGATTTCCAGTTTTTTTAATTTGATTTGAATTGAGATTATTGGTTTACTCAAAGGTATGTGATTTTTATCATATATTGTAGAAAGAAAGGGTGTGGACAAGTTGTCATGTATTTAACATTAAGAAATTCTAAACAGATCATATTTTCCTCAATTAATTTTGTAGCTAGCAAGTCTTTCATAGATGTTGATCCATTTTATAAAGGATGTCAAGGGGCTTTTAATCCATAAGAGGATATCATCTACATACATAATAAGGCTGTCTGCCAGATTCTGTGGTGTGTCTGA